GCTTCTCCAGAGATTGGCTGGCAGAGGATGGAGAGGAAGTTTAGACTTTGTTCAGGCCAAAGTAGACTCTGTGACACCCAGGTAGGTGCTGATATCTGCCAGTGGAGCTCTCCTGGCTGCCAAACAAGGACATTATCCTCACAGCACAGATTTCCCTGGAAATGGAAAGTGGAAATGCCGTGGTGGCATTTCAGGTGAAGCTCTGAGATGGGAACACAGAGGGGACCGAGGCCTGCCCTTACTTGCACTTTGTGTGTGGATCCTCCACGTGGGTGTGACGTGTTGTACCCCCTGGAGAACAGGTCACAGGAGGAACTGGGGAGCTTCTGCACGCACACATCACTCCTGAGCACTCCTAGGCACAGGGTGTTGGGCTCCAAACATTCTGATGTGGCAACCTAAGTCCAAACAGTCCCTGGAAGGTGTCCCTGCCCATCGCAGGAGGTTGGAACAAGATGATCTTTAAGGTCCCTCCCAGTCCAAACCATTCAGGTTGCACCTGGTATGAAACCAGATTCCTCTGGTCATGTCCTCCATGAGTTTTTACTGTCAGAGCACTGGAGATACTCCCCAGTAATGCTCAAGCTGACAAGGCTCAATCTTAAATCATAATCTGCCCTCACGATCTCCCCTCTGCCCCACAATCAGTGTTGTAGCTGCCACGTGTCTGAGAGGTAACAGTTAAAGGGTGTCTGATAATTAACTCCTGTGTGTCTGGACTTGCTGACCTGGTAGGATGGCAGGAATGCTGCTACCCCTGACCCGAGGAAGAGGTGTTTGTAGTCCAGGGAGTGTGTCCCAAGGAGCTCAGCAGAACATTCCCTGCTGTGGAGGGTGTTGGGGACAAAGCAAAAATCCTTCCCTCCCCAACCAAGGCTGTTCTGGCTCCTGCTGACTCACCCAAACTCTTGTCTTTGTTTTTCCTGCAGGTTCATGGAACAGCATCCAGAAATGGACTTTTCAAAGGCTAAATTCAACTGAACCCTCCCTTTCTCCCCCCCCTCCTTCAGTCAGCCCGTTGAGTGGGGCAGGATGTGTAGGGTTGGATAGTCCTCACCTTGGGCAAGTAAAACTTCCAGCATCCCCACCCGAGCCTGCTGTGGAGGCAGTTCCCTGGAGTCACCCCCAGTGTCCTGTGTGGAGCAGGAGGCAGGGCCACAGAGCAGCCACAGCAGCTCCAACCATCTGCCACAATTCCCAAAGGGCAGTGGGGAGAGGAGGAGGGGTTAGAGCCAAAAAAAAAAAGGGTGTTAGGGCTGAGAGAGCCAAACCTGAGAGGTTTTGGGGTATATTCTTGATGTACTGCTTTGCTTCCTCGGGCTCTTCAGAGCTGCTCATCCACTCCTTGCCAGTTCAGTTTGGCACAGGTACCTCCTGAGTTTTACTCCCTCCTGCTCTCCTGGGAAAACAAGGGTCAGTTGATTTTGTGAAATAATTCTCCTGCCTCCTTGGGAAAACAGCAGTTCAAACCCACAGCTATTGCAGCAGAGACAAACCCTGCTTCTCCTTGCTGCTGCTTCTGTTCTTGCCAGAAGTGGGACAGCTGGAGAGGTCAACCTGCTGTCCTACAGCAAGGAGAGGCTGGAGAGTCTGTGGTGTGGGCAGGAGAGGACACGTGGGGGCTCTGGGGGTGCTGTTCCTGCTGGGAGTGTGTCTCCTGCCTCTTTTCCAAGGGCCTCTCTCCCTGTTGAACGCTGACGGGCGTTGCTGCGCTCTGTGCCGAGCTCCTGCTGACGGGTGGCATCACTCTGCATGTTCATATCTGTTCAAACTGCAGTACAACATAAAGGAAAAAAAGTGGAATATTTCCAGGCAGAGTGTGTGGTTTCTCCTGCAGAAGGGATCCGGGATCCAGGCTGGGAGGAGCTGGGAGTGGGCAGTGCCTGGGTGCCAGGGGGGCTGCTGCCAGGGGCTGGGGTCGTGCTCTCTGCTGCCTGTAAATATGTCTTGGGTTCCCTGCTCTGGACTGGTGGTCTCTCCCTGCCTCAGGAAGAGGCAGTGGGAGCTGCATTTCTCTCAGGAGCGCTGCTGAACCCCATTCCCACCTTAAACCCTCGGGGCTGACCAAGGCTCATTGCTCCAGGCTCCACTCACCACTTGGCAGCACATGGCCACACCAGGAAGCCACCCTTGCCCCAGGTCTCCTTTATGCCAAGCTAAGGAGGAGAGTGTCATGAAATCCTGGGCTCTGTCAGTCCAGGCTATCCCAGATCCTGCTCCTGTGGTTCTTCCCTCTGCCTCCCTGAAACATTTCCACCTCCTACCTGAGGGGAGCAGGCACAAATCCTGCTTGGGCAAAGTCCAGCCTGGCACTGCACCTGGTGTGGTGGTGGTGGGTACTATTTTTTTGAGGAGTACAACACTTTGCCAGTTTTATAGGTTCTTGGGGTCAAAAAACAGCCCCCACCCAGCTGAGCGTGACCTTGAGGGTGAGCAAGGGCCTGGGTTGGAGCAGCTGCCTCTGGAGTTCTCCAGATCCTCCTGCCTGTTTATCTTACAAATCTCTCTACACACACCTGCCTGTCCATGGTTTGGCCCTGATAAAACAACAGGGTCTCCCCTTTCCATAAAAAAAAAGCCATCCCATGCTGGGTTTGAAGATTTTAGCCCCAGAATGAGCTCCCTGCCAGTGTCTGCACAGAACCCTGGGACGTGGGGCAGGTGAGCTGGAAGGGCTGAGCTGTCCTGGGGCGTGTGACGAGCTTCACCCCGCTCTCAGCTCCGTCAGGGCGCTGCTGCTGCTCCCTGGAGGTGCTGGAGATGGAGGAACAGGGCTGGGCTCTGCACCTGCAGCAGGATCCGCATCCAGCCGCCGGCCCCTCCTAAGGGACAAGCACAGGCAGGCACCAGGGCAGTCATAAACCAGCAGAGTCCACGGCACCACCCCCAGCCCAACCTGTAGCTTTGTTATTTCCCCGTTTCCTCCTCAGCCCTGTATCCAGCACCAGGAGCCTCAAGCCCGACCTTTTCCCGACGGTTGGCAGCTGCCTGGATCTGGCAGCACGGTGGGAGCAGCCTGTTCCAAGTCCAGAGCTCCCTCAGTGTTCCCAACCCCAAAATCCTGGGGCTGTTCTGTCCTCAGCCACTGCAGGGTTGGGAGTAACAACCGTGAAAATCCCAAATTTGCTGGTTCCAGGTGGCACTGGGATCTGGTGTCACTCGCAGGAGGCAGCTGAGAGAAGGCAAAGAGAAAAGGCAGCGACAGGAACCCCCCGGGAAGGGTTTTTTGGGGTGAAGGAGTGTCATTTGGCCTTTCAGGGAGATAAAAGGAGAAGGCAAACAGCCCTGGGAGAACGAGGCCATTGCTGCTGCTCTGAACCCCGCAGGGTGAATGGCCGGGGCCGTGTTTGTGAACCCAGCTGATCCCAGTGCTATCCCTGGACTTCAGCCCCTGGGGCCAGCGGAACAGAAGGTGTTTCTCCCGATGGCCTTGTCCTCTGCAAACACCCCGCTGCCACAGACTTCCCCCCTGGGCCAAGGTGAATCAGGAGCACCCTTTTGCTTCCAAAGGCAGTTCCCCCTGGAATAAACCAGGCTCTGACAATGCTCAACTGTCTTAAAGACTGCAAAGCCCCACCTCAGTCCGAGTTACTGGAGACCACGGAGCAGGGGAATGCTGAGCACCACGAGGGACACTGGGATCCAAACCCTACAAACACATCCTTGTCCTGGCTCCCCGCAGATGTTTCCCGAGGCTGGGAATGGCCCTGCTGGAGGCTGACAAGTGATAAAGGTCCCTTTGTCTTTCCACACCTGTGCCAGGTCACCTGGAGAAGCTGTTTTGGTGCTGCCACCCTCCGGAGCCGGAGCTGCTGGCACATCCCAAGCTCCTCACCCGCCTGCCCAGGGTCCCTCCCCTGTGCCCCTTCTCTAAAAGCAAAACCTTGCAGGCACACAAGCTCTGCAGAAGAGTTTTCCATAGGGTAGAAGTTTTCCCCAGCCTTTTTTCTTTTTTCTTTTCCAACAGCTGCTCTTGGCTCAGCTTCTATTAATGACTACTGCAGCTCAGACCATTTGGGAAATATCCCAAACTGCAGGGCTGCTTTGGGAAGAGTGATGGAACAGCAAAACCCCAAGGAGGGAAGCAGACACTATTTAATGTTACTGCTTAGTTTTAGGAGGAGCCTCAGCTCCACTGTTACTACAAGGAGCAGGCTGTGAGGAATTAGGGTCCATCCATCTGCTTTCCAAGGTCTAAGCCACACGGAAATAAATAATTCAGCAGTTCAGGGTGTGGGTGAGGAAAAGGAATTTCTTTAACACTCCTGCAGCCATTCCCTGCAGAGTTCCCAAGCTGCCTTAAGCCAATCCCAGGGAACCACTGTGGGCTGGTTTGGGCTGGGCAGTACATGGATCCCTCAGAGGGATCCATCTCCAGAAACCCTTCCCAGCTGAGAGAAGGCAGCACTTACCTGTTCATGGCTTTGAAATCCTTCCAGGAAACACATCTCTCGAGTTGGTCCTGTGCACCAGGGGGAGAACCCACCCACACCCCCCGTACTCTGCCCTGGGAGGGTGAGGGAAGGTCAGGGCGGGAGGGAATGAAGCTCTGCAGGTTATCCTGAGCTTTTGTAGTGAAATTGGGAAGCGCAGAACTGGTCCTTCAAGTCACAGGGTCGGAGGCTGAGCCAACCTCCCTCCCTGAGCTGATCCTGCCCAGACATCAGGGACAGCAGCAGCTCCCGAGCGATTCCTGCACTTCCTACCAAGGCCTGGTGACATCACAGGGACAAGATGGAAATTCTGGCCCCAGGCTCAGGTTTTCCAGAGCTCAGTTCCACCATCAACCCTCAGGGAAGGTCCAGGTTTCCCTGCATGCCAATGGGGATTTCCCCAGAGGCTCCTTCATTTGCAGCCAGGCACCACCCTGGCATTCAGCCCTCTGAACAATCCCCCTGGAGCTGCCAAATGGATGGAAAGATCTTTGTCTACCTGGCAAAGCAAGAATCAGCCACCCAGGATTCCCGAACTGATGCGAGCAGGAAGGTGAAGGACACAGCACGGGTAAAGAGCACGTCTTTTACTTTATAAAAAAGACCAAATCAGAACATTTAAGGCCAAGGAGTGCAAAAGAATCCCATAAGACACCACAGGTGAACCAGCTTCAGGAACCATCGAGTTGAAAATCTTCCTCTTAGTCAGTTTTTGGGGGGGGCTGGGGGGGAGAGGGGGTTGTTTTTTTGGCTTTTTTTGTAAGCTTAATCCCCACACATTCACTCTTCACACACAGACTATTTCACCTGCTCCAGCGGTCGCAGCTCGTTGCAAGTCCAGCTCACCCCTCGTCTCCAAAGCACAGCCCACAGAGCTGCTGTGTGTCAGCATGACCTGTGCTGAGCCCCAGTGCACAGGTTTGAGTAAACTTGTCCAAATAATAACGTCCAAATAATCCACTGGGAAGCAGAAACCAGGCGGGTCCATCCGTACGGGAGGAGGTGACCACACACGGCTCTTCTGGGAGTCCCAGCCTGGCCTTGCTTCAAGTCTTCTTGTATAAACTGGGCTTTTCACAAACCAACAGCTTTAAACACAAAGCAGGGAGGGGAAGCCAAATCTGAGGCTCAGTCTCTCCCCTCTTAAATAAGCCTGGCTGCTCAAGAGAGGAATTAAATCCTTCCCCTCTACCCAGCCTTCCAAAGAGTAATCACAGGCTGTGAAATAAAGGCACATTTCGATTCAACTAAGGCACATTTCAGTTCAATTAAGGCACCTTTCGGTCCAATTAAAGCGCATTCCAGTCAAACAAAGGCACAAAAACATGGTCCACACCAAAGCACAGGCCCTATTTTGGGTTCCCTCTCCCCCAAAACCAGTGGGTGCGTTCATTCTATGGCTGGTAAATTCAACCAAGTGTTTTCTATTCATGTCCAAGGACACCCAAAAGTAAAAACACGTCCCGTGGCTGCACGTGTTTACTTTCTGATAAACAACCAAGTGGCAACACCACAGATCCAGCTTCCTCCTGCTGCAGTGCTGCAGCCCTCAAGGTCACCTGGCACTGTGCCCTGGGGGTAGCAATGCCCCATCTCCTGCTTCCCACTGCCTGGTGGAGAGGAGCAAAGGGAAGGAGAAGGTGCTGAGGGGAAGGAAAGGACCAGCAGTGCCTCACAAACCCTCTGCAAGACTCTCAGGAGCCCTTCCTTTCAAAGCAAGCCACTTTTAAGGCATTTTCTAGCAAACACAAGAAGTTAGAGACAAACTATTTCCCTCACCTGCCACAGCCCTGGTTTCAGGCTTGCCCAGTGTGATGGGAAACGTGGAGGGTTTGGCAGAGGAGTGAGGAAGAGCTGTGACTGGCAGGGAAGTCACAGGTCAGTGTGTGCACCTGGGAACACCTCACAGCTTTAGTTCACATCAGGCTGGCAGAGCTGATGCCCATGGTCTGCTCGGGGGGGTGAAGGAAGCAGCTGAGCAGCCATCCCACCTCCCGTGTCTCAGGAGACACACCAAGAGGCCAAAAATTAAATTAACCCCTTTACCTGAACCTTCTCCTCCCAAGGCAGCAGGAGATGACACCAAGGGTCAGCAGGGAGAAGGCGGATCTGGCTATTGCAAACACCATGGGTGGAGCACACAGGTTTTTTGGGGACCAACCCAGCCACTTTAGACAGAGATCTGGGTCCCTAGAGAGGGATTTGGGTCTCTAGAGCCTCAGTATCAGCACCAACACAGAGACACCACTCAGTTATTCCCTACCCAAGTTAACTCAGGCAGTGCCAGGAAGCAAGAACTGTACAACAGATCCCCAAAGCAGGGAAAGGGCTGGGCCACTGAGGCTGTTGGAGCTCAACATGATTTACAGAAATCACGGAGGCACAAGTCATCTGATACTTCCTTGTCCATCTTCTCCTCCCTGGGCACACACTCCGCCTCCCAAGTTCATTAGCTCCACAGTTCTCCTCCTTGATGTTCTACATTGTCCAAAAAAACCCCAAAATATCCGGTGAAATTCAGGCAGCAGGAGGAATTTGGCTTCAATAAAGGATCAGGGTAGACTGAGGGGGGGGGGGGAAAAGTGGCCTAGCACATTCCATACGGAAAGAGGAGGAATGTGACTGCAGCAAAGCCCTGGAATGCCTGCCTGCTGCCTGGGTCCTTTAACAATACACCTGAAGCAGAGGTGCCCCAGACGAGTCAGTCTCTGTGTCTTGGAAAGAGGAATCTCTGCTTGTTGGAGAGCCTTGGAGAGAAGAGAGAAGAGATGGTGACATTAGCCAGGGTGAAGCACAGCAGTGGAGCACCTGGCAGGTGGGGAAGGAGCTGCCACAAAAGGCTTTGTGTATCATGAGGGAGGAGAAAGCCACAAAAAGCCCACGGGCAGGGAACAACCCTGCCTGTATTGTAGCCATCTCCTAGGACAGATCTGTTATTATGCAGGTGGAAACTTGTCCTTTAGCCCTGGGCTGCTTTTTGGGAGGATCAGAGCTCAGGGGGACAGCCCATCACTCTCCCCTGCTTCCCTTTTGCACAGTTCCTTTTGTTCCCAAGTCTCACCCAGCTGTGACCTTCGGCAGTCACACCCCAAAGACAGCCCCAAACTTTGTCAAGGCACACAGAGACTGAAAGCTCCCAGGACGAATACTGCGGAAGGACAGAGAATGCCCCATACTTGGATTTCAATCCTTTTCAGAAGGACCCACCAACCCAGGGAGTCTCCTGAGCTCCCGTCGCTCCCGAAGCCCAAGAGAACTCAGGGGAATCTAAAGGGCAGGGTCAGCTCGGCCTTTGTGGAGGGTGGAAACTGGAGGCACGTGAAATAGGGGAGGTTCAGGGCATCCCCCTCACTGCTGTGATGCCCCTGCAGCCCAGGCCCCCCTCCAGGTCCGTTACCTGCGCTGCTGTGCCGCCTCATATTCCGGGCCATCACATCTGCCGGCGTTTCTTCCGATATTTGCACGGCCAAATCTGGAACGAAAAACCAGGAGGGCCTGAGACAGGAAAGGATGACTCAGCAGCAAGGAGCCCTGTCAGGGAACACGGGGATCTCCACGAGGCACCACCCTCAGGGAACAGGAGAGGTTGAGTCTGGTTCTTCCCACTGCTTCCACCATTTCCTGGTAACCTGAGCTGTGCAGTCCTTAAACACCAGGAAGGAACAGCAGCCTCCCTCCTAACCTGGGAAGCACAACACACACTTGGTTTCCTCTGTGACTTCTGGATGTCTCCTTGCCCCCCACACCCAGCTTTCCAAGGTCTTTCTACAACAAACTCTCTTACAACCTGTCCTGGAGGTCGGGCACTTCAGGCTGCTCCAGTGAGCAGGAAGCAGCCCTGGCACAACCAGGAGGCACTGGCACTGTGGGACAGCCCTTCCCTTGTCTTTGCAGGGATATTTGCCATGTGGAGGAGGTCTCAGCTCGGAGGAGATGCTGTCACAGTAGTCTAAGGGTGGTATTAGACAGGTAGCACACGGGACAGAGCCAGCTGAGTAACTGGACATCCCCTGGCACAAGCAGCTCATCTGGTCATACCAGTTCAGTTTGACTCACGGTCTTTCTGCCTCGCTTAGAGGTGCAGAGGAAAGGCAGAATCACTGCAGCAGCAGCATAAGCCCTTCTATTGCTCAGCACAAACCTCACTGGCAGGGAAAGATATGCTCAAGAAAGGCACCACACAGCGAGGGTGAGAGGCAGAGGTCTCCATAAGGACCTCCATTCACACATCCCAGGAAAGCAAATTAACCCGTACATCTTAAGCCTTGCAAAATAATGAATTGAGAGCACAGCTGCTGCAGCAATGCAGGTACAGATGTACTTTATCAGAGGCACAGAAACCTGAAATATGTCCCATGGATCAAAATACATACACATACCTACACAGTTCTGTACTCATCTGTGCTGCTAAAGAAAATGAGCTAAAGCCTACCCTGAGGACAGACAACAGTAGCTCTCAACCCCGCTCCACAGCCACATCTCCGTGGCTTGGGTAAAACAACCCAGCAAAGCAGCAACACCCAGGGACCCCACATACCATCCTGGCTCATGACCATGGACTCCAGCATCGTCTCGTTGCCGCTGTCGGGCGCGTTGCCCCGGCTGGACTTCTCCTCGTGGCTCTGGCTGGCTGGGATGGAAATGTGGGGCCGGACCCTGCTTTTGCGGGTGCTGATGCGGATGATGCCTCGGACCAGCCTGCACTCAGCATCCTGCTCGTCCAGGTTGTAGTCCTGAGTTATGCTGTTGATGAGGTCCGAGATCTTGTTGGTCTTCTCCAGGAAGACGGTGTCCGAGGTGCACTTGGCCAGCTCGTCGATCTGGTGGACGCTGAAGAGCTCCGTCAGCTTCTTGAAGATCAGGACATCGATCTGCCTGCTGGACATGGAGCCATTCAGCTCACTGATGTCCACATCAGACTCGTGGAAGGAATAATACTCCTCCGAGCTCCGGTGGCTGCTGGGGAGCGGCGGCTTTTCTATGCTGTTCCTGAAGGGCTTCTCCAGCAGCTCCTTGCAGCAGGAATCCGATTCCAGCTGGTGGCTGGGGCTCCTGTTTTGGTAGACAGGAATGCCCTTCAGCTTCACATCCGGGTAACTGAAACTGCTGCCCACGCTGGACTTTTTTATCTGGTTCCCGTTCTTCTCAGCGGGAGAGACGTTGGTGGGGCTGTTTGGCAGCCGCCCGTTATAGTCTCCATCGTCAGTGGAGGTCTCGGTGGGCCCCGGGTAGGGGACACAGACACTGCAGTCCTGGAAGCAGCCCCCACAGGTCACTATACAACAGAAAACAGCCTTGTACGTGTTCCAGGCCTGAGACAGAGAGGAACAGCAAAAGCTCTGGTTTGGGGGAGCCTCTGCTGTGCCAGAGATAAAGGTAATTGTCTCTGCCTCTCTGCCGTTGGAGTCTTTGAGCTCAGCTTTGCGCCCTTTCCTGTCCCGCATCTGCTGGGCTCGGCTGCGGCTGGGCTTGATCTCCGGCGTGGAGCCACTGAACACCTCCAAGCTGACATCTGTGTCCTTGGCCGCCCGGGTCCGCAGGGGCACGGCCTCCTGGCAGGACTGGTTCAGCTGGCGGTGGCTGTTCAGGTCCTGGGGGAGTCGTGTTTTCCGGCCCAGCATGGCTCAGCACTCGGGCACCTGCGGAACAGGGAGGGCTCAAGTCACAGCTTTCGTCACCAGCCCCACCTCAGCGAGCTGCCCATCAGCACAGAGGGGCCTGACAGTCAAACTCAGTGACTCTCAGATTCAACATTTCAGTTTTCACAGGGATGTCTCTCCCGCTGTTCCCACTTGTGGCACAGAGGGGGAATCCAGCCCCTGTTTCGGGGCTCTCCGACTACTCAAGCTTTGCTTCCTTTTGGTAGACGCTCAAACCAGAAGATATGTACTTTAAAAGGACTATTTGAAGACATCAAAATCCTTGTAACCTTCAGAAAAGGTTTCCTCGAAGCAGCTGGGAGTCAGGCTCCGGAGCAATAAACTCACAGCACAGCTGGAGGTGGAGCTTGGAGCTGACAGGCTCCAAAGGGAAAGTATCTTTTTTTAAACAACTCCCCTTTGTCTCGCATTCCTTAGGATTAGGCTGGGCCCTGACAGCACTTATCCATTTCAAAACACATGTGTGCCCAGGAGGAGATGACAAGCAATCCATCATTATGCAAGCTGCCAATTCAGACTCCACATTATTTGGTGCTATTTAAATTCAGGGGATTTAGCAATGCTGGCATTACTAACACTAATGATTTTTGCCAGTCATGCTAAGGTTGGGTCGTGTCAAACACTTCCCTGTGAAAACCCGATGTCTTCATCTGGATCAAGGAAAAGGTCTTGTCAACAAGTTGGTCTCAAATCACTCCTCAAGGGAGCAAAACCTTTACAAGCCCTACCACAGAGATCCCACATCAGACTCTGCTCAACTGTTTCCCTTGTTACCAACACGACTGCTCCAGGTCTGCACGCAGGAGTAAACTGCTTTTACAGCATCCACTGTCACAGTTTATCTCCACAGAGCCAACAATCAGAGCTTGGCATGTTAATTCTCCCTGTTATTAATCTTTTTATTATTAAAGCTCGGCACTGGGCGATGCTGAGTCAGGTCAAGGCTGTCACTCTCCACTTCTATTGCTGCTGCCTTTATCCCAGGCTGTGGTGGGCCCCTAAATTCTCCATGGTTTCCAAGCTTCTTGGCTAACACTGCTTTCACCCCCAAGAGATCCTTTTAAACACTAATTAGGGTAATTAATAAGCAATGAGAGCCCAGCCATAGCTTAAACGTTTTAATACTGTCCTTGTTGCTCTGCTATAGACTTTCTATAGGGCACCTCAAGCATGAATAAATAAATCTGTCTGACCTTGTTAGAGCATTGCCTCTTTATCCCCTGTTTTTTTAAACAAATAGAAACATTTTCTCCACAAAGGAACAGGCCCAGACTGAAAGCCAGGCAGTTACAGCACATCGCTGCTTTCCAGGAATATTTTGGCTCTGTTACCTTATAAAAATTCATCCCAGGAGCTTCCTCTGCACATTCCTGGGCAATATGTTAAATAAAAAGCCCCAGATGCTGCAACTTCAGTGCTGAGCAGGCAGAGCTCCCTCACCTCAGCATCAGTGCAGAGTTTTGATTGCTTTCTCTTCAGAACAACAAAGTGTTTTTCCTCAGCTTCATCATTTGTTCAAAATTTAAAAACAGGCCAAAAACATTTGAGCTGCACTGAGGACAGAGCGGATTACTGGGAAGTTTCTCTTCATCCTGAGGCCTCAGGAAGAGATCCAACATCTGCACTGCTCACTTGTATCACAGCAACACAACACTCTGTGTTCTCTGTGCCAACAGCAACACTCACTTATATAACAATACACGATGTTCTGAAATTTCAGAGCATCTTGGACACAAGGAAGAGTATGAAAAAGAGCTGCAGAGACACGTGTCAGAGACAGGGACCTGTCAGAGTCCTGGGCTCGCCCCTTCCCATCACAGGTCATGTTTCTGCAACCACTGGATCACACGGAAAAGTCCCCTGGGAGCATGGACAAGACACAGCTCCTCAATCCAGCAGCTTCTCTAGCACAGGCAACAGGCTGGCCTGAAACCCACAGCCATAAACAAGAGCTCAGACCAAAATCCACATCCAAGTGATACTCACAGGGTCGTGACTCTCTCGTTGCTTCCTCTGCCGTCACGCAGGCGCCGTGTGAGACTGGAGAAGGTCCCTCCAAAGAGCCTCAGCATCTGCTCCAGAGCAGCAAGGAAGGATTCAAAAAGGGTTTGCACCTCTAAGAGTTAGCCCGGGTCTAAGATCTTCATTGTTCACAGGACAGGATTTCTTTGTGAAGTTCTAAAAAAAAAAAAAAAAAAAAGCTAAATTAAGTTGTGAACCTCCTTAATTTACACATGGGTTTGACAATAACAGTATTGCTGGTGTTGCTGGAAGCCAGGGAATGTCTCCCGAGTTCAGGAGACAGGGTTTACACAGAGATACAACTTGTCTTAACTCTGTGGAATTTTCTAAGCAGCTTTGCCAGGAGCTGAAAGCCACCCTGTAAAGCTCCTGTTCTGTCTGCTGACACCAGGCAGTGATGGAGATCCTGGCCCAGAGTAACGTGGATCCAGCATCTTCCCTGTGCTGCTGGATCCTCCCTCTCAACTATTTGGGATCTAAACAGCCCAGCTGAGGAACTGCCTCTCACCAAATGCCTCCCTGTGCCCCTGGCCCAAAACCAGCTGACAGCCAAGACTCCACCACGCCACAGGGAAACAAAATTTGGCCCTTCTTTCTCCCAGTTGAAGGAGAAGGAAGGGGGAGACCTGCCTGGGCACTAAACAGAGCTCCCTCTGCCTACCCTGGGCCACCCGACGTCCTCCAAACAGGGGATTTTTGGGGAGAGGAGAAGCTGGCAGCAGGGACAGCCCCATCCCAGCCCGGCCTGCCCTGCCCTGCGCAGGGTCCTGCCCCACTTCCCACTGAAGTTTTCCATCCCTGGAAAGCAAAGCCGACCCCAGCAGGGACCAGGGAGACCCCAAAAACCCGCGGGGAGAGCTCCCACCACCAGCAGCCCCCCGGGAGAGCCCCGACACCGTCCCCCGCGGCCAGGGCGGGGAAGGTCCGGGAGCAGCGGGAAGCGAAAGGCGAGGGAGTGCCAGGGAGAGCCGGGGGCAATGGGGGGGGATGTCCCCAAACCTTGCGGTGGGGGAACCGGGGGTCCCTGTGCCGGGGGAGCCCGGGGCGCACGGGGAGGGCGAAGCCGCCCTGGCGGGGGGACGGAGCCGAGGGGCGCGGGGGGCTCGGCGGGGTGGGTGTGTGACGGGATCCCCGGGGCGGGGGTGGGATATCCCGCTGTCCCTCCCTCCCTCCCTCCGTGCCGGTCGCGGCCTGCGCTGCCCCCGGGCCGGGAGGCGCCGGGCGGTGCCGCCGGGGTGGGCGGCGGGGCCGGGGCTGATGCCGGGGCCGGGGGTGGGGTCGGGGCCGGGGGTCGGGGCCGGGCCGGGGCCGGGCCGGGTCCCTCCGCCCGGCGTTACCTGCGAGCCGGGAGCGCCGTCCGGCCCCGCCTCACCTGCGCCAGGTGAGACACGTGACGCGGACGGGCCGCGCCGAGGGACAGCAGAGCGCGCCGGGCGAAGCGGCTCCATCCCGCCGGGAATGCCGCTCCATCCCGCCGGGAATGCCGCTCCCCCGGGGAACATCCCCCCGGCCCCCCGGGGGCCTGCGTCAAAGCAGCCGAGCAGCCTCATCCCCAGCGGGCCGCGTCCCGAAGTAGCGCTGGCTCCCCGGGGATCGGCTCCCCCGAGGGTCCCCGTCCCCACCCTTAAGGTCTCCATCCCCGAGGATCCCTGTCTTGAAGGATCCCTAACCCAGTGTATCCTCATCCTCAAGGATCCCTGTCTCGAAAGATCCCTGCCTCAATGTATCCTAATCTCCAAGGATCCCTGCCCTGAAGGATCCCCATTCCAATGTATCCTCAACCCCAAGGATCCCTGTCGTAAAGGATCCCTATTCCAATGGATCCTAATTCCCAAGGCTCCCTGACCTGAAGTGTCCCTATCCCAGTGTATCCTTATCCCCAAGAATCCATGCTCCAAGGGATTCCTATCCCAATGTCTCTGCATCTCTGAGGATCCTTGCCCTGAAGGATCCTTATCCCAAAGGATCTCTGTCCTGAAGGATCCCTATCCCAATGTATCCTCATCCCCAAGGATGCCTGTCCTGAAGGATCCCTATCCCAAAGAGTTGGGGGGTTTGGATCCTTTCCTGAAGGTTTGGAAAAAAGGATGGAAACCCATTGGGAAGGTGGCAGCAGGGCAACAGCTGTGCACTGAGGCTGCTGCCAGTTTCCAGGAGGAAAGAGAAGAGAGAAATCAGTTTAAAGGATGATGCCAAGAGTCTCCTTCCTTCTCTAAAGGGCAGAAAGACAGTGTTTATTTATTCAAGCCTCTGGCACTGAAGCCCAGCCGATGTCGTTTCCCCGTCTGGGATTTCATTTGTGGATAACTCACAGCACTGCTTGGAAATGTGTCCTCTCCTCTGCCAGCTGCCTTGAGCACAGATCCCAGCCATGAAACCTCTCCTGTCACTGTCCCATGCAGCCTGGCACTTCCAGGACGAGCTGAGCAGCACAGTGTGACCCCCTGAACCAACAACCACTCAGCTCCTGAATTTTTCCCTGTGTCCCATCACAGTATCCCACCCCTGTCCCAAACTGCTGATGCTGGGTCCGGGGTGGTGGGACAGGGAACTGGGTCAACCCAGGAGTCCTGGGGTTTAAACCCAAAATCCTGATGCAGGATTCCTTCCCTTAAACTGTGTCAAGATGAGAGACCAGCGCCTGGGCCCCCCTGTCCTGGTAACTGGGACACCTGGGGACAAACTTGCAGAGAGGCTGGGAGATATGGCAGCAACATTAATTATTTACTGCCTGTAACAAGGCTTTGTTTTTCTGGAGCACATCCCAGTGCGGGAATTTAAAGAGGCTGGAGACGAGGCCAGTGCACATCCCGTGGCTGTGTCCTCCTGCTGCCTGCATCCCTGCGGGAATACCGGGGACTGGGCTGGCGGTGGGATGCAGGGTGGGGTCCCATCCTGGTGTCCCATCCCGGTGGTTGGTGCCTTGGCAGAGGGGCGCTGCCAGGGGAGGGAGAACAAAGCTCCCACCGGGCTTTTGCATCACCGAGGTTTATTCTGAGCGCTGCTAATTGCAGCCTCCTCTGCTAAATCATTAATAGCTCGTCAGCCCGGGCAGAGATCCTGCAGTGCCAGAGGGTTCTGGGGACTCAGTCACTAACTTACTTCAGGGCAGGGGCAGTTCTTTTATTTTCCTACTGTTTGCCTTTTCCAGCTGCTGTCTGCTCACCACTGGGACGTGCTGGGACAGCCTGGGGACATGGTCACCTTCAGCCTCACTGCCCAACAAACCCAGCCCCCCTTTCCCCCCTGCTCCCTGTTTCCATGTCCTTTTCTCACCCTGGAGCAGGGCCTGGAGCTGGGAAGGTGACAAGCAGCGCAGGCGTGGGAGGTGATCCAAAAAAAGCAATTATTTTCTGAGCAGGTGACGACAAAACAGGCACCTCCTGAGATCACTCCAACCTCTGCAATTCAGAGGTTTCACTTTTGGGGGATGGGGGGAGCTCAGAGCACGGCAGATCCGAGCCCTTTTTCCCTTCAGGAGGTACCCTTGGGGATCCAAGTTCCAAGGAAGCAGAGAGAAAACGAGAGAGGAGGATGTTCTGTTAAATTCCTGCCTGTCCCCACAGATTTTTAGGCACGGGGAGCAAGGGCAGAGCTTTGATCCCACGATGGAGCAGCCCCCCTCAAATCCCACACCCCGTTTTAGAGCAGCATTTGTATCAGATACACGAAGACTTCAGCTTTCCCACAGCCTGGGATGCAGCCTGCAGGGCTTGAGGAAGTGCCGTGGCCGTGTCCCCGACCCCGGGCGGTGGGGGTGCGGTGTCTACCGGGGACGAGCCGGCAGCGGGGGCTGGAGCAGTGACGCAGCGGCCGCTGACGCCGCTCCGGTGCCTGGCAGACGTGTGGCAGCCTGGCAGGAGCAGGAATGTGATGCAAAGCACAAGAGATGGGGTTTTATTTTTCCTCCTAAGGTAAGGGAAGCAAAAATGTCACCAGCTTCGTGGGCGACATCCACTGCAGGCCTGGATGTGGCTCTGCTCGGAACAGATTTAGGCTGGGTTTTTGTTTTTAGCTTAGGCTTTTGCTCCGGTTTGGGGGTGGGATGAGAGCTCGGCACCTGGTTTCTGTCATCCCTTTTATCCTCTCTGCTGCTGCGATGTGAAACACGAGCAGGTTTTACCCCACGCACCCACATGAAGATGCAGCTACTGAGGATGGCATTCCGGCAGGAGGAACCCCAAAAACCAGGCCCTGTGGGGGAGCAAGGTGGCAGCGGCACCTCCCTCTCCAGCCTCCTCCCCGTGCCATCCCACCCCCAGGTCTATTAACACCGTACAAATGATAATGACGTTGGCAGCGATGTTGCCGTGACAGCCCTGCGACCACGGACACGCGGTCGTGGTGTCACATTCCCTGCACCCCAGGATGGGACACCCCAGCCCCAGCCCCGGTGGGCGTTGGGGGGAGAGGGGCTGCCCCCTGCTCTTCTCCTTGCCCCAGGCAGAGGCACCGGCATCCCTCAAACAGCACCAAGACCTTCTCAACTGCTTCTCTCAGGAGCTGCAGACTCAAACCAGCCGTTCCAGTAACCCCTCACAGTCCAGTCTCCCCCACTGATCCATCCCGGTAAATCTCCCCAGGAAACCTTTTCCGGTCCAGCCTTTCCCAGTGACCCCTCAGTAACCGTCTCAGCGTTTCCCAGTGATACCAGCCCTCCCCAGCTCCCTATTACCCACCGGCGTCCCCCGAGGGCACCACAAACTGGTAACGCCACCGGGACAGTGCCCTACCGGGCCATGCCGATCCCGGTGTCCTGTCAGTGCTGGCACCGAGCCCGTATCGATGCCGTCCTGGGCCATACCGAGCCCGGGGCCGGTGTTGGACAGAGGCAGGTGCCAGTACCGGGTCTGTACAGGGCCATACCGAGCCATGCCCAGCCCGGTGTCGTACCAAGGCTGAGGTCGTGCCAGTGTCGATACTGGTAATGTGCCCTACCGGGCTATGCCGAATCCCGGGCCAGTGCAGAACCAAGCCCGTACCGGTGCCGTGCCGGTCCGTACCGACCCCCGGGCTGCACCGCACCGCTCCGGGGTCGCGCGTCCCTCCCCTACCCCTCCATCCCCTTTTTGCCGGTGCGGAGCCGCTGCCGGAGCCGCCCCCGCCGGGGCCGAGCCACCCGCCGCCAGCACCGCCCCCGGGCTATATATCCCCGCCGCATCCCTCCTCTCCCGCTCCCGCTCCCCATGGCTGCATCACCGGCGGCACCGGCATCCCGGAGCCCCGCCCGCGGCGACGCGCAGCGCCCGTCCCGCGGCGGCCCCGGCGGCCCCGAGGCGGGCACGGAGAGCGGCGGCGGCGGCAGCAGCCCCGGCGCGGTGGAGCTGGCGGCGGCCCGGCGGCGGCTGGTGGCGGCGGAGGGGCGGCGGCGGGCGGCGGCGGAGCTGGAGGGGCGCGTGTGGCAAGTGCACTGCGCCCTGCGGCACGCAGAGCTCCGCCTGGCCGCCCGGGCAGAGACCCTGGGCCGGCTCGGGGCCGGCGTGGCACAGGCACAGCTGGCGCTGGCGGCCCAGAGCCAGCGGCTGCAGAAGGGGCTCCGCCGCCGCCCGCGCCCCCGGCCCGCCGCGCTCCTCGCCGCCGCCCGCGCCCTCCGCAGCTGCGTGCCCTGGGCACCGTCCCGGGCACGGGGGGCGGCCGCGGGGACCCCCGTTCGCCGGCTGCCGGCGGCGCCCCGCGGGTCCGCGTAGGGAGGGAGGGGGACGGGGAGGGGGCTGGGGTGCTTAAGGGGGTTTGATCGGGGGGGGTTTCTGAAAGTTCTTTGGTGGGTCTGGGGACCCTGCAGGATCTGGGAGGACCCAGTGCTCCGAGGAGCCCTGGGGAGTCTGATCGGTGAGGATCCGGTGGGGGGTTTGGGGAGCTGGAGGGGTTTGGGGTCCTTGAGGGGGTTTGATCGGGTGGGTTCTGGAAGTGGGGGGTGCCGTGATGGGTCTGGGGACCCTGTGGGATCTGGGGGGATCCAGTCCTTCGAGGAGTGTGATCGATGAGGATCCGGGGGCTTTGGGGGTTCTGAAAGTGGGGGACAGTTTGATG